ATGACCTGCCCAGGTTTAAGGACAGATGGTAGTCTTAGGGGCCTTGAATGGCCTAGAGACTGGCTTAGATGCGTTTCCCTGTACACTAAGAACCACCACGTTTCACCTGGAAGTTTATGGAAATCCAGCGGTTGGGATGGCTTGGGAAGCTGCCAGCGCATGAAGGAAGACCTGAGGGGCTTCAATTCTATAAGGATTTGTAGTAGTTTTCACAAAAAGTTTGATAGAGGCTGTTTTGGGGTGATTCTAGGCTGGCAGAAGCTGGCAGATCAATCGCGACCAATTGAACTCTTGTGGAATTGAACTTTAATTGGAAAACCATCATGCCCTTATACCATCATGCCTTTATAGAACTGAAGCGCCTAGGGTCCTTTCTCTTCTTCTTTCCTTATTTGTTCCTAGATGACCCCTCCTGGCACAGTGACCTCAAGCAAATTATTTTGACGCACATTCGACAAAGTTATCCTAGAAAAGCACTCTGGCTGATACATGCGCCCCTGAAAAAACATAAAGGAGCCCCAGTTATTATTACTATTTCTAAATCTTTGTATAACATCGAAGAAGACATACTCCACAGAAATCATCTAAGTGTGATTCTATATCGAATCAAAGCACCCTAGCCTAGCGGCAAAAAAGCAGCCATTCACAATATGACTCTCTATAGAATCAGAGCACCCGACATGAAAAATAGAACGATTGTGTGTGAACAATTAGCAGTAGAGATCGCAGTGCATGTCATTGACTTTTTCACCCGCAGCCTGCGTTTGGACTGAGAGGAAAAAGTTCGTATGGTAGCGGAGCAAGGTTAAGGGAACCCCCCTTTGAGCTCCAAAAAGAAGCCCCTAGGTCACCGGGACCCCGGGAGCGTCCGAGCCATAGATTTGGGGCCTTTGAACCCAAAATGCTCACCTGTTGACAAACTGCTGTGAACTGCACGATGTGCACCGTACATTGCGTTAGTTGGGCAATATTGCTTTAGGACAATGGATGCGATAAAAGAGATCCTGGAGTTGAAGTACGCAAGCAGCAGCAACAGCAGCAGAGGCAGTGAAGAAAGCGGTTGAAGACAAGAAGACAACGCATTCGTCAAAGCTGATCACAAAGCCCAACTTATTTAGCACAAGTCTCAGGAGATCAACGCATTCAGGGAGTGTTCATGGGTATTTGAGAAGTATCTAAGTTCAGTGGATGAGGCTTACATGAAGGACTTGAAGGAGATTCATGACAAGACAAATGACACAGCTTCGATATGGACTTGGCAGAACAAGAAGAGAAGACCAGATGCATCAAGCTGTATGGATTGCTAGCTTCGTTGATGAGGGGCAGGCACTACAGTTGGTTAAAGCTGTGGCGGACTCCCATGGATTTGATGCCTGGAGGAGTTTGAACAGAGCTTTGAAACCTACCTCAAAAGCCAGACAATTAGCGCTTTTGAGAGCAGCCACTACGTGGCCAGCCTTTTCTATGAGCAGTGCTGTACAACCTCAACTTCTCAAGCTGGAAGAGGTGTTTGGGGAGACGGTCAAGTCGGGGACAGCGGTTCAAGAGGAGATTAAATCTGCAATTCTGTTGAGATGTGTGGGTGGACAGCTCGAATCTTACTTGAATTTGACAATTGGTGACAATGTTCAATACTCAACTTTGAGGGAACAAGTGTTGCAATGGGACCGTTCTCAACAGAAGTGGGCTACTTCAATGGTTGCAAGTAGCAGTGCAAACTCCAGAAGGGCAAAGGGCAAAGGTAAGGATGCCAAAAGAAAAGGAAAGAAACCAAAAGGAGAACAACAGAAAGGAAAGGAAGGTGATTACAAGGGCAAAGGCAAGGGCAAAGACCAGAAAGAAAGGTGTGGCGAATTGTTGCACTTGTGGAAAGCCCGGACATCTTGCTCGAGACTGTTGGAGAAACAATATTCGACAGGTTGCAAGTGACACAGCTCATTCATCTTCAGGAGGAGGTTGAGTGACTACACATACAGTTGCTCAACAACAAGCCACTGTGACTCAACAGAGCAGTTCAGCGAGACCAAACCAGTTGTCAGAAGGGTTGATAACAATGAGCCAATCATCTTCGACCTACGAGAGAGACATAATGATTCAGAATCTCATGGAATTCGAGTTTTCACTTCTACATTGACATTGGAGATGACGATGATGAGCCATGGAAAGGTATGGAAAGGAAGAGAAGACCTTTTTGAGGAAAGCTTTGAGGAGGTTGAAAATGAGAGACCCAAGGTAAGAAGACTTGGAGAAGAAGAGAGAGATGATGTGGCCATCATTATCGACAGTGGAGCTGATGTAGCTTAATCTCTTTGAACATGGCGGATCATGGAGAAGGAGAATTAGAGTTCAATGCAGCAACCAAACTACAAGATGCCCAGGGGAATCGTATCCGCAACGGGGGTATGCAGAGTGTCGAAATCTCCTTGCATGACATTGATGGACATGAAGTTCTTCTCAAAGAGAATGTGATCTTCAGTTCAAAAGTGAATCAGCCCATACTTTGTTATGGAAGACTGATGGAACATGGTTGGGGAATCAATGGTCGAGAGCAAACATTGGAGAATAATGGTGACTTGAAGGTACCACTTCATTTGCAAAATCGCTGTTTGACAGTCCAAGGCTGCATTAGAGTCATCCGAGATGAAGATGAAAGCTGCTTGGAGGTGCAAATTCCTGAAGCTTTGGAGAAAGCTGCAGGCTGGAAGTTCAATGAACATGGCTTGATCACCCTTTATTCCAGAGGTGGAAGACCAGAACTGATGAGAACAACTTTGGTGAAGAGGGGAGGTCGATGGCTCATGCCTGCATATTGTGAAAGTGTGACGAAAAAGGAGGAAATTGATGAGCAATTCTTTGATGATGGTGCAGTCATTCCTTGAATCACAATTTTCAGCTATGAACCAGCTGCTGAAGCAAATGCAGCAAACTACTTAGCAAGAAGGAGCTTAGACAATTTGAGATTTACAAGTGGACAATTTAGTGGACATGACACACTACTACAAGCAGCAAGTCAAGGGGCAGTTCTTTCAGATGGACCAGCCTCAACATCATTCAGAAGTGGAAATCCAGAGTACACAAACAGCATAGAACATGAACAGGAACAGAGGGAAGTACTACGTGCTAGACTTGAGGGCAAAATCAACAGATTGAGCAGACAGCACCATCGACTGTTAGGCAGAGGACTATTTGATCAAGCAGACGTCATTGATGCTGAGAGAGCCCAATTTCAATACGGTACATTCAAGATGAAGGTCCTCAAGGAACACCGTTCCTTAGAGCGGCGGTAGAGAGCCCGCACCCCGCTTTTGGATTGACAAAAAAAATTGTAGTCAAAGGAAGTTTGGGGTGCAAAACTTCCGTGTTACGGACTTTCAACAGCTACCACTACCACTACCACTACCACTACACTACTTACTACTTACTACTTACTACATACTACTACAACATTCTACAAACTACATACGACATACTACATACTACATCTACTACTACTACTACTACATACATACTACCACTACATACTACTACAACATGCTACCACTACTAGCTCTAGTTCCAGTTAACTCTTCAACATGCATGTTGGAAGGACGTCTTGTGCAAAATGCGTTTTTCAACAGCTCTAGCTCTAGTTAGCCCTAGTTCCAGTCAGCTCTTCACCATGCATTTTGGAAGGAAGTCTCGCAGAATGGCTTCGTTTTGCAGGTGTTCAACATGCACTTTGGAAGGAAGTCTCGTACAAAATGCGTGTTCGAGAGATAGCGGGCGCACGAAATGCCGTGTTTTTCAATGCAAAGGGTCGCTCCGAACCTGGCAAGTCAAGCTCTGCGGAACGACGGTTGCGGAACGTCCTCACGTCATTCTCGGATCATGTTCGAATCGTCCCTCCATTGTAACTAGAGTTTTCACCTGTTTCTTGTGTACGTGTTGTTGATGGAATTCCATTGCGTTTTGCAACTCCTGGATTGTAAGCGTTGCTGGTGGATGAGCTGTCGCTGGACATTCATTGTGTTTTGCAGTTTCAGGATCGTTCCCGCAATGTAAATGACACTTTCATGTCTGGTTGGATCTTCCAGTTACATGTTTGGAGGAAGTCTCGCAGAATGGCTTCGTTTTGCAGGTGTTCAACATGCACTTTGGAAGGAAGCCTCGTACAAAATGCGTACTTCTGTGTTACGGACTTTCATCAGCTCTAGTCAGCTTTAGCTCCAGTAAGCTAAAGCGGTTTGGAAGGATGTCTCGTACATTCCGAGTGTGCGAGTAACATTCCGAGTGCAAGTTGTGGACCTGGTTGTCAGATAGTGAGTTTCCTTCCAAAGGGAGACGCTGTCGAAAAACGAAGCCTTCTACATTCCGCGTCTGTTTTGGTTGCTTTACGTCAACACTGGTTGCAAATGATTTGTTTTGTTAACAGGTCAGTTTGTACTTATGGTTTAAGTTTTTGGCACAGTTCATACTTACAGTCTTTGGTTGCATTCATTGTTAAGACTCTGGTTGCGCATGTATGACAGGTTGTGCGCGCAAATTCGGAGCCCTGTGTAACTACATTCACTCCGACGTGCGGTGGTGTGACCCGAATGCACAGTGCCAGAGCGACTACACCGTTGTGGGCTGCTTGCGTGACGCCATCGTTGCGGGCCGGGAAAAAAGGGGGTCCGCAGGGCATGTGTGAAGGGACACTCCTATAGGTCAAATTGGTTTTATAGGAAACTTCCACCGCCGGCTTGCCTGGGAACTGCTTGTATGTCTTTCTATAGAATTGGAACACCCAACACTCCATTTCTCCAGAGACTCTAGATTTAGATCTACCACCCCTATAGAATTAGAACCCCCAACATCTCTATCAAATTGAAGCGCCCAACCTCCCGTAGCTATCCAGGCACCAAGTAGCTGTACAAAAAAGAGTACTGTAGCTTCCAATTTTATAGAAGAAATTGCCACAAGGACTAATTTTGCATCAACAGGACTTCCTGAGTGGAAACTCGACACCAAAGCATGGGCGCCTCCTCCCCGAAGCGGCCGACAGCCTCTGTAAATTCATCCTGACAAAGCTCTTTAACCAGCATGGCACTCATGATTTTGCTTCACTCTGCTTCATGCTTGTCCTCGGGGAGATCAGACAGCTGAGCGATGAGCACCCGTGAGGTTGCATCCAGGCCGACTTCGGTTCTCTCCACGGTGTCAGCTTCTTCCAAACCAAAAGAAGCTTCAAAAGCGCCTTCTACATGGGATGCATCCCGCACCTCAAAACCTAGAGGCCGCGTAAAACCACTTGTAGCAAATTCAGCCTCGAAGCCCTGCTCAAAATCATTCTGGGAGCGTAGGCCAGCTGCCAAGCTGCCAAGCCGGGTTGGCGGGAAGATGTGTTTACTTGGCTTGCCTTGCTGCGTGCTTTTGGAAGCCAATGCGTTCAATGCGTTGGACAGCATAGTACTGCCAGTGCCGCAGTTCGAAGTTGGGCTGTCAGCCTGCCGCAGGGACAAACGTCAAAGTCGTGCTGCCAGTTGCGAATTTGAACAATCTCAGCACGCAGCCTCAATCTCATCGATTCTATCGATTTGGTCGATGGCCTTGCGATCGGAAAAACATCAGCATTTCGTGGAAGCACATACTCACATACCAGTACCAATCATATGGCAGCCCCCTCACCCTAGCTGCTTAACGCAGAAATTTGTGGACCTTCTTGAATTGACCGGGAGAGGTGCAGGACAGGGAAGGACCAAAAGGGAACTTCATCATTGTCACCTTGCAGAGCCTTGCAGGTTGTAGAGAGGCACGGCTGAGTATGATATGATATGGATCGATATAGATTGTGGCCAATTCGAATCTCAAAGCATGGCTTTAGCCACGGGCGCCGCTCATCCTCCCCAGAACTCCCCATGGGATATACAGGAGGTGAATTGTGCGTGCGTTGTGAAAGATGGAGAAATGGAGCAATCAAAACTCTACAAAATGGTGTTGGTATCTTCGAGGACCGCATCACCCACACTGTACTACTGTACTACACTAAGCGGGAACCCTTTGAGACCCTGTTTGCAAAACGGCAAAAGTTTCTGCGGTTTTCTAATCCACGCAAAGTTTCTAATCCAGCCTCAGACGGAGCTGCGCCTGCTTCCATCCATCGTCGCTGTGCTGCTGCGATACCAGCCACTTCCCTGCCAACCACTATGCTCTTGCAAAAACTCCTTGCCTAGAATGCCCAACAAAGGGGTTTTGACAGGGTGCCTTCGAGAATGCATTGCGCCGCATCAGTTTCACCGAGATGTCACGTCGGCTTGTCGCTTTGACTCCGAAAACCATTGAAATTTCTTTCCACTCAAAAAGCTTGCCTCTCTTCGGACAACTCTATTGCTGATGCCCAAGGTGGGAGCAAGTCCTGCGCGCAGGCACAAGAATCATTCCAACCTCTGCCCACGCTTCGCTGTCAATGACCCAACCAACAACCTCCATTATCCAATCAGGCTCGCCCTACCTCAGCGCTCCCGCCAGTAAAGCCAGCTTCCAACGACGCGCGATGCACCTGGAAAGATACAACCAACTTGAGGACATGCAAGTTCTGAAGAGAACAACAAGTTGTCCTTGAGCCGCGGGCGGCAAGCGCTGGTGTTTCCAAACGCCGCGGGGGTGAAGACCGTAGCTGCGCAGCTACCTGCTGGCTTACTCTGTCATCTTTTGACATCCGTGGACTGAAAAAGCTCTTTCCTCAAGGCTCAAGCGATGACATGTGCCAGCTGCTATGCATTATGTGGCGCCAATCGGTGAGATCGCTCAGTAGAAACACAGAGGTTTGTCTCCAATATTGACAAAACCAGTACAGGTGAGGCGCAAGCCAAAGTACTAGCAGAGACGCAACACAACAAAGCGAGGGCGGCGACAGGAGAATTTCGTCATTGTGCTTTGATTTACGGCCACTACACTCTCACATACATACATGTGTGTATATACACACCTGAAATACCTGAAAAGGGAGGGGACGAAGCCAGCCATTGCGTCAAGGGGGGTGCCCCTAGGATTAGGTTGGCGTTTGCAGGCAGGGCCGCTTGTTTTCGTTTTAGGTCAGGGGTATTCAGGGGTGTTAGAGGGTAGAGTGGAGAAAGAGTAGCCGGAAGCGGTGAAGTTGACATCAGCCACTCTCATAGGAGGTGGAAACAAACGGTATAGTACACAATTTCGGCGGGTGCCCTTTTTCGTCGTGGTTCAGGCACGTTTTGGAAATGAAAAAGGGCACCTTCGAAGGAAGTGAGGGGTAGTAGCTTGCTGTGCGGCGCCAGTCAGTGAGCAAACATGGTTGTGGGGGGTCAAGCTGTCGGGAGGGAACGTATATGTATATAGGTAGAGG